GAAAAAAAAAAAAAAAAAAAGAGAAAGAAAAACACAGACTATCCCAAATATCATCTACCTAGATTTAATATAAAGTTTTATATATTATATGAAAATATATATTATACTTGTAATTATGGAGTCATTTTTACAATGTAATTATTTATGTATGGTGCAATGTGTATATGGACAAAAAAAGGAAAATGCACTTTGGCTTATATAATTCTTTCAATACAGAATTTTTTTTTTTTAAAGAAAAATGATACAGCAAAAATGGGAGAGAACCCTATTTTTGATGTATTTTTTTTTAAAACTATTATTAATACCCAGACAAAAAGCTAATACCGGTCACTCATTGATAATAAAGTATTCGCATTATAGAGGGGTTTTAATTGTCTTTTTTAAAGAAGGAAGGAAGGCTATTTAGTCTGAATTCCAGTTGGTAACACCTCTAGTGACTGGCGTATAGCAAAATAAGTGTGTGCACCCACGTGCTGTGTGGGTCGGGGGCTAGGTGCATCACCAAATTCTTGGGTGGACAGTACAGAATAAGCCCTGAAGCAATTAGCCTATTTGCTTTCTCCAGTGCCTAGTGGACAAGGCCAAAATTTTTGGATGTCACTAGCTTATTTTGTATGCCTCTGTCTTTAATACAAGCAACTTGGGGCACCATACAGGGGCCAGATATCAGGAAGCATTTGAGTACTTATTTCGGCAAAATGTATGCCTTTAAAGTGTCTCAGATCAGTCATTCAAAATCTCCAGGCACTTTTGAAATGAAGTGGGGAAGCAAGCGGGCAGAGTGGTGCGGGCGAGCGTGTTCTTGTAAGATCGTACAGTGCCATTTTGTAATTGCATTTGGATTTGAAGGGGCAGGTATGATCGGAAAAGCGAGTGCACGCCAACAATGTGCTCCTTTTGCAAAGTCAGGATAAAATCTGGTTGCTTTTCTGATGAAAGACACGATTTTACTTCCTTTTAGTCCTGCTAGCACAAGGCAGCCCACACAGCTCTGGGGGAATGTTGGCTCTTCTGACCCCGGCATTATCAGTAGAGCTGTTAACTGTGTTATTTCTGCTTAAGAGTGCTGCCAACTCTTGCAGTTTTATTATGAGTCCCCCAGTACTTGATTTTCATATCGTCCAAGCCTCTGGAGGCCTGTGATTACATGAAGATCTCAGCTTTCATTAAAAACAAGTATGTTTCTAGCCCTGGTAGTTGCAGAAAAAAGCATGAAATGTGTCCTCTAAAGTCTCCAAGCCCAGAAGGCAAATTAAAAGAACCCCAAATTATTAACTCTTTTTTCCACCCCTCCCCCCCCAGATCTCACAAGACTTAAGTCAGTGTCATGGATTTTTTACGGGATTTGAGACATTATTTTCTGTAGCAATAATGAGCAAGGAGGCACTGGGTAGACAGCGTCCAGCTGTTTTCAGATTCCAGAGTATGTTAGCAAAGCTGGCAGTTCGGGGGGGACGACATCTTTTTTAACTTGCAAAATTGAACAAATTTGATTTGGAAGTCAATGAGATGCAAGCATGGAAAGCCACCAGGACATTTCCACCGTCATTTTTCAAATTATAACCACACTTTAAATGATATTTAATTGGGACCACATTGGTTGGATTCATGTGGCATCAATATTAATACTTGACAAAATTAATTTTTGTTTGTATTACAACCATTGTTGTCAGGGGATGGTGTCAAAACATATCACAGTCATTTAAAGCCAGCGCTAGAGAACTGTATTCATCTTGTTCTTTTGGCTTGGGCTTGTTGCATTGTGTCATAGACCTCAACATGCTGTATCAGTTACATGCAGTGTTTTAAAGGGGCCGCATTCAGAGCAAGCCACTTGGTTTCAAATGATGAGTTTTCTTTACTAGCAGGGCCTTTGGTGATTTTAATTTTTTTTCTTTTTTTTTTAGCAAATCTCATTCACTTTTCACCATTTGTGCTGTTTCCCTTTTTTTCTGCCCCCTTCAAAGGAGCCTTAAGGAGTTTGGAACAGGAATTCACTGAGAGTTGGAGAACCGGTCGATGCCTTCTGTCCCTTTGAAAAAAATCCCAGTCTTTATATGTTTCTCAGTGACTAGGGAGGGATTCATCTCATTTCCTAGCTCTCTTGTACCAGCAATTCCTTCAGTGTCTGATCCGGCTTCTCTCTGGGACTTCAGTATCTGACCGTGTCTGTTACTTTAAGCTGTGCCCCGAGGGAGACTCCACAGTGCCGAGGCCCAGGAGCGGCACCGTGCCCACGTGCCGCAGCATAGTTTGCACTGCGGACCTTTTGCATACTGGTGCTGTCTTGGGAAACCTCAGGCACCCCACATCTCTGAAACGCACAGGATCCTTGTTCCTGCAGAGTGACCAGGTCGAAGGCCGCTGTGTCATTGAAGTCCCTGAGCTGCGCTGGTCCAGAGCGCTGCTGCGCTCCCCACTGCAAAGCAGGACAACCCCATACCCCTGTGCCTGCTGTCTGCCTCCCACCCCTCCACACTGCCACTGCTCTCGGGTCCTGCAGGATGCTTGGAGAATCCTGTCAGACAGCCATTTGTGGCGGCATCGGGCTCAGCCGCCTGTTTGACCCATCTCTGCAGCATGGTCCACAGTGTCCTGATCGATCAAGTTAAAACTAAGCAGAGAAGCACCAGTAAACCTTGTCAC